GGAACATAGACTTTCCTTCTTCGGGAGTGAAGTGGGAAGAGAAGTCTAACTTCCGAAAGCATTCGTGGTATCAGTTTCCTGTTTTTTTTTTCTATCCTCTTTTCTTGTACCTCATTGCTTAGTAAAATCACCATATATAAACTTAACAGTATTGCGTGTGTGGTTTTTATTAATCGTAACATGAATTGTCCAAAACTTAAAATTATTTTATAATGGAACACTAACGCAGAATTTCACTTACCAATCATTTAAGAATTACTCAGATATTACGACGTAATATTATTATATTTTGTTCCAGTTTTTGATAATTTTTTTTTCTTTGAACCATTGGTTACTTTTATTTATTTCAATTTAAAATATTAAAAATCTATATTCTTTAGTTGTGAAGAATAATCATGTTCTAATGTTCATCGAAAAATAACACACTTTGTTATTAAAGTCAATACATTTTGAAATATTATTGTGATCTAAGTGTTATGTTAAGTCGCCAATCCAGCTAACTAGCAATACCGTAATTGATGTGAGAATGTGTCACGTGATGTCTTATGCTTTCACTGTCCTCTGGGTAACGGCTTATGATTCCACTGTTCTTTGTGTAACTAAGTTAACGACGTTTTTCCAGTTATATTGCAATAAAGTAGTAAAGAACGTTCTTTGTCTCTTATTTGCCTACGGTAGCTCAGCGGTAAGCTTGAGGGTTTAGAACAAGAAATCGAGTTTCGGTACATGCGGTGGGCAAAGCACTGATAGCCCATCGAATACTTTTGCACGAAAAATACAACACAAAGTCTCCCTTAACATTTTAACGTAACATATGTTAAATTAATTTTTGTAGAAATTTGTAAAAAATTAACATTAAATACAGTTCAAGTAGCCATTAGACAAAATGTAAATTTTCTACAATAAACGAATGTGCACCAGAGAAATTACAGATAATAAAATAGATGCTGATGGAAATCAACAGATCTCACAGATTAGCTTGCTAAAACATCTGCCCAGTAAGTAGTCAGCAAAAATGTAAGTCTCGCCTAGCCATAGTTTTCGTTTTTCAGGAAAAATTTATATCGGACAATTAATTGCTGGTGTACTTTGTGTATCATAGCGTACATCTTAATTTTTTTTTGTGAAAATTTTGGTGATTTCAGCTTTTTTTTTCATTTTACCTTATGTTAAAGCTTAAAGTATATGTAATACTTTGTTTAAACGACTTTTTGTCTTCGTTGTGTTCTGTTGGTACTATTTATCTTACTATTTTCCTTAGGTGTTGTTTTTTCTATATATTTCTGTATTTTATAATTGATATTAAGCAATCACGGAACTTAAATAACGCTCCCTTGCATTCTTATTTTTTGGTTTGTTTATTCTGGTGCGCAAGTTTCACAGTTTTCTTGCGAACTAAGAACTTTTACCAGGTGTTTAGTATCAAGTTGTTTGCTGAGTGTGAGAACAAACACGAAGAATGAGCTCTGGCTTCTAATTGGCAATTCTCGGATGGGGGGGAAGGCGAGGGCAGGTTATAGGGCATGCTTTATGTACTGTTTAGAGAGCAGTTGAAAGCTTGACAAACATGTTTGTTCTTTAGTTGTTTAGAGTCGCGAATTTGCTACTAATATCATAAAAGTATTTAACTCCTTCACTGAGACAACAGTGTTTATTTCATTTGCTGAACATTTTTTACAGTGATTTTGCTGCAATGTTGCGGTTTTTACTATAGTTTCAAAGCCACTTAAACAGGTTGCTTATGGTTTCACGACAGAATCCTTTGTTTTGTGACGTCACATTCATTCATCTCTTAGTAGCACTCAAACATCCCCTTTTAGTTACGAAACTTATTCATCTCGACAACACACATGCACGCAACGCACCCTTTACAGAGATCCTGTTCAAAACTTGCTTGGGATTAATCTTGGGATTATCTGATATTCTCTACTTTGGTTTTTTCTGAAATGGTAGGGAGTGATCCTCTTATACGAGTGAAATCATAGCTGATCTGTATTTGTGTTTTTATTTGATGTTTTTACAAGTTCGTCATGGCTGAATAGCTTGCAGAAGTAAAGCAGCAAGTATTGGATTCATCCCAAAATTTCTATGAAAGCACGTTATCCTGCTGAAGAGATGCGGCAGCACATCACTTTGTCATGTGATCTACGCAACATATAACTACTAGAAAACTTTGGGAAATTCCCTGGGATGCATTATATGTGTAGGTAGAGCCACTATATTTATGTGGGAATAGAGGAAAAGAAGAGTGATATATGACGTAGCGTCTACAGCACAATGTAGTAACACGAACAGATGTCATGCCGTAGGTCCTACGACACAACTCATAAAAAGGGTTAGTTATACATTGTTTCACAATTGTTGGCTAGCAGAAGTTCAGGCACCTCTCCTACTTGGAGATCACAAGGGTGCTCTACACGTTGTTTTCAGGGTTAAACATTTTGGTTGTTGACGTAAGACACTTTTGTCAGATTGAGTCAATAGCAGAGTGTAGCTCATACAAGAGTTTCTGTCCTAGTGTTATAGAATAGTGTATAATAAAATGCTTTGAATATAATATTTAACAATGTTTCTAGTCGATCCACATAAAATATAGGAGACTACGCATACGCTATCTGTATTTTTTTTTTCACTTTTCTGATCAGATGCTGAATATAAAAAGAATCCTTTGAGACTACATATGCGCTACCTATCTTTTTTTTCTACCACTGTATTTGACAAGAAGCTTAAGTATTGTATGAGAATGAACCAAATTAATTGATATGTTATAAGAGTTTAACAAAGAAATATATTACTCATTAATTAAAGCAATATTGTAAGTTATATTTTTTGTCAATCCTTTTCTTTTCGCTAGACGCACGTATTTCCCTTTTTGCTAATAGTTCCTATTTTGTTATCCAGTGCTTTCTGTTTATAATTTTTATACTTATATTCATAAAAAACAACAACACAAATCTAGAAATTGTTTAGAATATGAGAATGATTAACTCTTAAAAGTTTTCGAAATGAGCGATCCAGAAAACCTTGCATATTTTGAGACAAATGAAATTGACGAAACATGTTAATTACAAAGTCCAAAACATTACGTTTAATGAAACTAAATATTAATGAAAATTTCAAGCATAAATAGGTAAAATCTTAATATTTAATCTTCTAGTTAACCTGCAAGAAAATTATTTTCGCTACGGTTGATGTTTTATTCGTCTAGACTTTAAAAATTTCAGGAAAATAAATTGTGTTTTAACAATAAATATTTGTAATATGAGAAAACAACGTAAAATATATTACTATGTAATGAATATTTTCGATTAACGATTTATGATAAGATACAACAAAACCATACCTACCTGAACTGAAATATTTAAGACAAGGTTCAATATTGTTGTTTACCCCTTATTGGAATGGTTAAAATATTCGCCTACAGAAGCTATACAGGCTGTGTATGATTCTGCCGCAGACATAAGCGGGGAAAGTTATAATTTACATATAATTAAATTTTTATTGAAAAAACAAATAAATACCAACTAATTAGTTTGTTTGTTTTGAATTTCGCGCAAAGCTACACGAGGTCTATCTGCGCTAGCCGTCCCTAATTTAGCAGTGTAAGTCTAGAGGGAAGGCAGCTAGTCATCACCACCCACCGCCAACTCTTGGGTTACTCTTTTACCAACGAATAGTGGGATTGACCGTCACATTATATTGCCCCCACGGCTGAAAGGGCGAGCATGTTTGGTGTGACGGGGATTCGAACCCGCGACCCTCAGATTGCAAGTCGAGTACCTTAACCACCTGGCCATGCCGGGCCCACCAACTAATTAGAAAATTCAATATGTAGCATAATGAGTCTCACTTTCTTAGTTAATAGATTGATTGCGATTTTATGGGTCACTGTGTTTAATATTGTAGAATACAATTACGCTAAAACTCTACAATCTGACATAAATATTTAAATATGAAAATAAGAGAATGGCGAACAGAGCATGACGAAACACATTTATTTTACTGAAATAAAAAATACGAGGAAAGTTTTATCCATAGAAGTATAGATACTACATGTAAAAGACGACATCTAGCGGTTCCAAGCTAAAACTAGCAAAATTAAAACTGATGCTTCATTATATACATTCAAAATAAGAGGAAGAGCAAGATACTATTTATAACTTAAACAGTGGGATGAAAATTACACTTTCAAAGAAGAGAAAACTGCTTATTACACACTGATGATATCACTACAAAATTGAAAATGCGCAATGATTAAAATTTAACGATATAATATAACAAACGAATGATCGGAAGAAGACGAAATTAGATAAATGAAAAAAGACCAGAAAAATTATGAACAGTCAATAATTTACATATTCTTATATAATACATTTTATTTTAACAATTGAAACTTAAAATTGTTAATGTTATCTCCTATTAAATCGAGTTTTATTTTTACAGATCAGTAGCTTTTATAGTGAACAATATCACTAAAATTTAAAGCTCAGACTCAAATTTTGTCTATATGTTAAGTGTGATAGTGGAGAATTTAGGTGAGCAGGCTACTACACAAGAAAAAGGCAACAGTGTCTAATGTCTATGAATATTTTATAACGTTATAAATATACAGGTGGGCTTCATTACTCCCTTTTTTGATAGTTACCGTTAAAACAACGTCAGAGAAGATGCAACGCACTACTTTTTCCGTGCGCATGACTACAGTTTATAACTGCAAACAACTGTGTTTCAATGTGGCATGTGGTTTAAGTCATTAATGGCAATTTGCGCTTTACATGCCTAAACATTATTTGCATCAGAAAATATGAAATATTTTAGGTTTGTACATATGTAGTGAGTAATAGATTATAATGATTTTAAATTTGCACAGTGTGAACAACTTTGACAAAAAAAAACAACAAAAAACTCTTTATTGAGTAGTCTCTCCTGTGTTTTAAATTGCTTAAATATAGAGCGTTTTTCAAATGAATTCAAACAATAACCTGAATTATTTTACCTACCATGTTCGGAGAAGACTATGATTTCTGAGGTTTTTCCGTAGAATTCTTCGTGATCGTCTTGCTCCTGGTCTTCAGTTGCCTCTCCAGCTGGCTGGTCCTGCGGCAAGGCTTCAGGAAACAGGTGGCCCGAGCTCCGCCGGAGGGCTTCTAGAACGACCTCTCGAGTTACAGGAGATGTCATGTTAGGCCGCTGATGTAGGTTTAGTTTCGAAAGAATCTGTTGTTTGATAGCCTCGAGCTTCAGCTGCTTCCCCACGTGCCGATCTGATACCGTAAGACATTGCGGACATGCATTGATTAGCATTGTGTCTGGTTGCCCCGGGCCACGGTCGTGATTCTGCTCTACTGACTGCGCCAGAACTGCTGCTACCAGACCCACGAGGGCTACCGTCAATTCTTCTGACTTAGACATCCCTCTTCTTCTGAGCTCAGTGGGGTACTGGGCAACCCCTCCGGCAGACCCTGTAACTTCACGGGAAATTGGGCGATGAGCACCCCGACTAGCGGCCGGCGTTTGAAGCTTCGTAGTGGCATAAGAAGGTGTTCGGACCAGATTAATTTTTCATTTTGTTTACTACCACTTTAACAAGGTGTGAGATGGCCGGCAAGAAGGCGCCAAGCAATCCCCGGATTTGACAAGGCTGCGCACATATGTTTCGTGTCTGTTTCTAATACTTCACCAACTATCAGTGTGAGCTAAGTGCGTGTTGTGCTCGTATAGTCAGCCTGAGCTCTCACCTGATTTAAACCACTTACTACATATAGTCTTTCGTACCCTCTGCCCGCTCTCACGTGACTCACGGCACCCACGAGGTTTAAGCCTCCGAGAGGTATTAGTTAGTAATAAAGACAGGAAACGTGGCGGTGGAAAACTTTTATTGACAACTAAATGGTATACTGCTGACGACTTTCAGAAGCCGAAATACAATTTAAAACACTTAACTCATGAGGTTAATTTACTTTCAATCACAGAGAAATGGAAGTGAATTATATGTGTGTGTGTGTATACACACACACACACACATATATATATATATACAAGTACATATTTTTTCCTCTTTCAGAAATTTTAATCAACTGAAGAATGAACTCACATTTACGTAGAATTTAAAATATTTCTCGTGATCCACGACTTCCTCAACGTACTTAAAAACTATCTTTAAAATAAGTTGTATTTCTATAAATAAAAATTTTTGCTTTTATGTTTCTCAAATAATAGCAATATTTTATCCAGTAAGAATTATTTCAAATAGCCTTAAATGTAGTAAACTCAATCATCTCTCTGATAAACACTCATCCACAATTCAGTAGATTTCGCTTACTGTAACTTCTCAATTTGTTAGCCGATTAAGTTAAACCACTACCTCTTATAAACTTTCCTGTACATAATATATCCATGTTACAACAAGTGACAACTCTGTCGGTTTTGAAGCAGCTCAGTGGCGTCTTACAAACATAAAACTTATCATCACAATAAGTCACGTATATGTTTTGAAACATAAACTTATGGAAGTTGTATTTATAAATCAAAAAATGTTTAGCATACCACTACGGCCCGTTCTTGTGTATTTTGTTATTGTTCAACGTGCCTTTTGTTTGTATTATTTAAACCCATTATTCTACAATCTACATAATTTGGAGACACGCTTCATCACACCACTCATTCAACATAGTTAACTACAATTGCTCCATCAAGTCAGTCACCAAAATTGGTAGACTTAACCAGACATTCTGCATCAGGCCAATCATTTAATGAAGTTGACTTGACTTGCTTTATCAAACCAGTCATTCTACGAAGCTTACAAGATACGCTCTGTTAGATCAGTCAATAGACATACTACATCACAAGACTGTGAACTTGACTAGGTATGCTCTATCAGGACAGTAAAGAAGGTTGGTAGACTTGACTAAACATGCTCCATCAGGCCAGTCAACAACGTTAGTAGATTTGACTAGCCATCCTACGTGAGGCCAGTCATTCAGCAAAGTTGGCCAGACTTGCTTTATCAGGCTATTCATTCTACGAAACTTACGAGATACGCTCTGTGAGGCCAGTCGACAGTTTTGGTAGACTTAACTAGAAATATCCATCAGGCCAGTCAATAAGTATGATAGATATACTTCATCAGGACATTCAGTACGGTCGGTTGACTTGACCACTCGTGCTCCATCAAGCCAGTCAAGAAGTTTGGTAGATTTAACTAGACATGCTCCATCAAGCCGGTCAACAAGTTTGGTAGACCTGATTAGATACACTCCATCAGGGCAATCAGTGCGGTCGGTGGACTTGATCAAACGTACTTCATCAAACTATGGTCACAAAAAATGTAATTTTTTCTTTTGTTAATAGGGCTATTAATGTTTCGTCATATGATGAGGATTTGATGTTAGAGTTAACGTATTTAAAACAGGTAGCGATTGATAGAGGGTATCAACCTCAAATCATAGATAGGATATACAGTAAATATTGTAACAAACTTCAAATTTCTGGAGCTACTAAATTGCAGATGACAGAAATGGAAAGCAGAGAAAGAATACGTTTTCCCTATGTTTAATCATGGTCAGTAAAAATAGGTAATGTGTTTAGGCAAAATATGAATTACCAAGTAACATTTACTCCTCAATTAAAATTAAGTCATATAATTAATGGTTTGAAAGATAAAATTGAATTAAGGGCTAAATGTGGTATATATACAAGTTCATGTGCTTGTGGTCTAAGTTATATTGGACAGATAAGTAGGAACTTAAAATTTAGAGTAAAAGAGCATCAAAATGCGTTGGATAAATTAAAAACGGGTGAATCGGCTTTGGCGGAACATGTGGCGAATTCTACACGTGTTATTGACTGGGATCATGTAAAAATACTTAAACAGATAACGGATAAGATGAACTAAGTATAAGAGAATTCTTAGAAATTGTTAAAAACAAAATGAATATCAATAGAGATTTAGGCCCAGGAGCCACGGAAGTAAACGTTTGGAAATCGTTGTTGTAAATGGCGCCACTGTAAAAACATACTAATTATACACGTACATTAGGTTTATAAGAAACTTCATGTGTACTTCGTGATTTATTCTCCTGAAGATGGTGGAATTATTTCCAGCGAAACATTTAGAGTTTTTAAAGTTTCTTTTAACTTATATTTTTTAAAACTTTACATATGAATTATTGTGCAAGTGAAAAACGTTGATGTCTCGTTTTATTAATTTTATTTAAAGGTTGATAGACTTGACAAGACATACTCCATCAAGCCAGTCAACAAGGTTGGTGGATTTGACTAACCATTCCTCATCAAGCCAGTCAACAAAGTTGGTAGATTTGACTAACCATTCCTCATCAAGCCAGTCAACAAGGTTGGTAGATTTGACTAACCATTCCTCATCAAGCCAGTCAACAAGGTTGGTAGATTTGACTAGACGTGCTTCATCAAGCCAATCAACAAGGTTGGTAGATTTGACTAACCATTTCTCATCAAGCCAGTCAACAAGGTTGGTAGATTTGACTAGACGTGCTTCATCAAGCCAATCAACAAGGTTGGTAGATTTGACTAACCATTCCTCATCAAGCCAGTCAACAAGGCTGGTAGACTTGACTAGACGTGCTTCGTCAAGCCAGTCAACAAGGTTGGTAGAAATGACTAGACGAACTTCATCAAGGCAGTCAACAAGGTTGATAGATTTGACTAATAATTCCCCATCAAGCCAGTCAACAAGGCTGGTAGACTTAACTAGGTGTGCTCCATCAAGCCAGTCAACAAGGCTGGTAGACTTGACTAGACGTGCTTCGACAAGCCAGTCAACAAGGCTGGTAGACTTAACTAGGTGTGCTCCATCAAGCCAGTCAACAAAGTTGGTAGAAATGACTAGGTGTGCTCCATCAAGTCAATTAACAAGGTTGGTGTACTTGACTAGATACGCTCCATCATGCCAGTCAACAAAGTTGGTAGAAATGACTAGACGTGCTCCGTCAGATTAGTCAACAAGGTTGGTAGAGTTGACCATATAAGTCCAACTAGGCTAGTCATTCAACAAATTTGGCAGACTTAGTCACTTTGACCCACTGATCAACAAATCAACTATATTTGCTCCATCAAGCTCCACGATGCACTTAGTTGTTCAACAAACCACCTAAACTTGGAGTTGTTTCGTAAGAAATGTTCCTCAATTCATTAACTAGACATACTCCATTAAATTTATTAGTAAACAGGTTGACTACTTCTAGCTCTATTAGGATCGTCGATCAGTTCTCTACTAACACCGACATTATCAAATTTGGTTTTCAACAAATCAAGCAGACCTCATACATTAGAATCGTTATTCAATAATACTCCAAGACTACTGCAAAAGATACGTAGGTTATAAACCTACCTTGACTTGCTTCACCAGTTTTGTTGCTCAACGTATCATATAATAGTTAACGGTTTTCGTGATTTTAACAAAATTCGCTATAATATTTGGGTTCTTAAATTATTGGCTCCTTAAAGGTTACTTAAAAGCAAAAACAAAAACGAAGGTCGCATTTTTGATTATCATTGAAATTATTTATTTATAATTAAACAAGCTGAATAATGTTGAATTCACAGAAGGTAGAAAATACATTACATAAGTAGAATAATACTATATAAATATATATATAGGTAAAAGTTTGCCTCTAAAGAAGAAAGGTCCACCTTTGGAAAGAGCTTGGGTTATAGGGTTTTTGTCATTAGGTAAAAGGCTATATAGTATATAGGTATTAGATAGGTAGAAGGGTATAATATGTATCTAGAAAAAACACGATATATATATATATAGGTAGAATAATGTATTGTGC